GAGTTATAAACTCTTCTTCATTCTAAATTAATTCCAATTGATCGTTTTAAAGGTTATGAACTATATCATGTTGTTTGACAACTTCTCCAATAGCATCTGCATATTCTTTGCATTGACCGATAGCAGAAAATATCTATTTAATTCTTGTACAAAATGATATAATTTTATTTCATACCTTTGTAACACACTACTGTGAAAACAGAGGATAATGATTATTGACTACACTGCTGTGATTTGACTAGTTTGTAATGTGGCACATTACAAGGCCTCTCCTGAGTGCTGCATTATTTGCAGCACCTCAGAAAGGCCATCCCCGTCCCTTGCCGCCCCGTAACCGGTTGTTTAAAATAAAGCTAAACGCGCCCTATACCGAACAATTATTATTTTCCATGTCCGAACGACCACGCCGGAGATATGGGCGAAACAAACTTGCCCAACGCGATCCGACGGATGCTCAAAGAGCAGACAAAAAAAAGGAGCGCACCACAGAAAAAGAGAGCGCACGCACACACTCACTCACAGACACTCCCGACCACGTGTTGCCGGCCGGCAAAAGAAAAATGCAAAACCTGACTGGGAAATGCAACGGAGATGCATGTTGATGACACATGCAGATCCGTTATACTCCCAGACACTAACACGAACACTCACGAGGCACTGACACTCCTGGGGCGAGCAGAAAATCGCCGATGAAGTGGCAGCCGGCAATCAGCTGTGTCGGGCTGCCGAACACCATCGGCGACATCCTGAGCGCCACACACACGAAAATCAGCGACCACACACACAAACACCCGGAACAACACTACAGAACCGACACGGGAGCGCCCCAGGAGGCGCTCCAACAACCGGCGCAAGGACACGAGACGTACGCGCGAGAAACTGAGCGGCCATCTTGAAGCGCCGATATAGACTGAGAGCGAGCGAGCGAGACAGAGCGAGCGAAGCAGACTAAACAAGAGCGAGCGAGACAGACTGAGACAGAGCGAGCGAGACAGAGCGAGCGAAATAGACGAAATAAGAGCGAGCGAGACAGACGATATAAAATAATAGAATAATATGTAAATGCGAAGATGAGGGCGCTACAAATGAAACGGCGTATATTATATACGTATTTCTGATATTAAAATTAAATTATAAATTGAAAAAGAATGAACACGAAACAAATATCGAATTGTAAAATTCGCACGCGACCGACACCCCTATTATGATGGCGAGCGACAACTACCCCCTTTAGGTTTAAATAATAATTTAACTAACCGAATTCGAACATCTGACAAAATTCGCTAGTGACGTCACGACCAATAGGCAAATTAGAATAAAATTTGATTTCCGTCCGCATAGACGAATAGATAAGAGTAGAGGTAGATCTTTTCCGACAATTAATGATAGATACCTTAGTGGGGGGGTGAGAGAGAGTAAATAACGACGAAAGTAGGAGAGTTAAGGAGGGCGCTGTATTATTCTAATTTACATACGGACCAATGATAAAAATTCGGAGGGCGCTACCGATATCCGAATTAGCATACCGACCAATAATAACATTTCTTCTCGGAAAGAGGAGAAGAGAAACGATCTTTGACCGCGAGAAGCCGATTCTCGTCCATTTTGCCACTGGATATCCGCAAGGAAGGTGCCTCTCTCAGCTAATCGTTGTCGAATTATTAGCGCTAGGCGCCTCAGATATTTCTATCAATTTGTTTGCTAATACCGCAAGGAGAAAATTGTAAGTAGGCAAAGTGCCACTCATTTTTAATTAATCGCGGAGTGCGGGGATCAATAGTTCGGTGCTGTAGGTCGTCGCGACGCGTGGATCCGTCGACGCTGGTGCCTACCGGATCGTGCTGACCTGTCCGCCATTCCGTGAATGTAAATTGAGTGTTCGGTTACGAGAGAAAATCGCGACTTAGTATTCGCGCTGACCCTTCGTCAACCTCTGTTAAGTGTTCGGTTACGAGAGAAAATCGCGACTTAGTATTCGCGCTGACCTTTCGTCGACTTTTATTAAGTGTTCGTTTTATGAAAGGAAATCGCTACTTGGTATTCGCGCTGACCTTTCGTCACGTTTATTAAGTTCGTCTTACAAAAGAAAATTGCAATTTAGTATTCGCGCTGACCTTTCGTTAGTTACTTAGTACAAACGTAGGTTCAATTGAATTAAATTGTTTTGACTAATTAGTTGTGCTGACCTTTCCGCCATTTCGCGAACCGAATTTGAGCGTTAGGTCTTATAAAAGAAAATTGCGATTTGTTACTCGCGCTGACCTTTCCGCCATTTTAGGAACCGTTTAAATTGTATCTTTAGGGATTAATGAAAATTCAGAATTTTACCGACCATATTTATTCCGACCTCGTATGTAAGAAATTCTAATGCATCAATAAAACGATTAATTATCTTTATATTTATATATATATAATTTACTGGATAACCTACCCCTGTTGCATGCTAGCGATTTTCAGCCGCGAGCGGTTATATACGGGTCTCATTAATTCGCTATATTTTCGGGTCACTCGTTAGGTAATATACGCGCGATTTCGAACGTCCTCACGACCTGACTTAAGGAGTCATCACCTGAGCTGCCGGCGTACTCTAGTCAAAAAGAAATCGAAGGAAAGTTGGACACCAAAGGCCTGAAGCCCGGATACAACGCGTGTCCCCCATCTGCTTACTCTGCGCAGTCGCCGTTAGGCAGACCGGGATACGAGTAACCCGACTGGCCTTACCCCCGACGATCGCCGTAATCAGCCGACGGTCTGGCGCCCTAAATAATCGGGGGTAGAGCCAAACAGGCCTTGTGGCGGAAGAACTCGGAGCGCGGTCAAACCCCCCGAAATTCCCTGCCACAAGTTGATAAATACTATCAATGTATCCCAATGTAATTTAATGAATGCAGAGTCTTAATTGCTCCATCACGTTACATTTCCGAGGTAACATAATTTAAACATGTTAAAAACTCAGTTTTTTTGTTAAATGTGAACTCTTATTAGGTCGTGTGACATCAGGATCACTTTTAGATACGCTTGGAGTAAGCGTAGGTTCAGGATCGCTCTAATTTGGCTTGCACGTAACGCATTAGCTAGGACGAGCAATATTGTTCCATAGAGGAAATCGTATGCTATAGGATAGATAATAACTAAGTGTTATTACGAAGATACCAGATACTCACTTAATGTGTTCTTAAGGAACTCTAATGGAAATTCACCAGACTCATACTTAGTAAATTTCCAGACATGTAAATAACTAGAGCAAAGAAAGATAGCCAGATAAGAATTGTAAATTACTTTTCTTTTTTTTTTAATCCAAATATCAGATCCTTTTGTAGTGTCACTCTTGCCCTCTCCTCTATTTCTCTCTCTCTCTCTCTTTCTCTCTCTTTCTCTCTCTCTCTCTCTCTCTCTTTCTCTCTCTCTCTCTCTCTCTCTCTCTCTGAATCTCTCGGTAGTTGTTTCTCTCGGGCTAGTGATACTTATATTTCCTCTTGACTTCCCTACTCTTTCCTTGACTTGCTTAACTTCTTTGAACTCTTTTACTGCCTTACTTCCCCACTTTCTGACTTCTAGCACCCTTTGAGGCCTTGTGCAAAGCTTTTTATAACCTGTGGGTGGTTGGGTGGAAATCCCCTTCTTCAGACCCATGAAGGGCAAAAGTCGAGATTTTCCGAATTGGTTGAAGAATTTTCTTGAACGAACCATAACAAATAATTGGTCGGAGGGCGTGAGTTTTTAAAGAGAAAGAGAGCGGTCCTTTCTAAACTTGGGCCCTTTTTTTTCAGAGATGGCTCTGAGAGTGCCACGTTTTAGAGCAAAAGTGACGCTATCATTTACATCTAATTATAGCAAACAAATGTTAGTCGACATACTTCATTGCAATTTTACATTGTAACTGAATACTGAGGAATCAATAATAAATTGAGATAACGCCAAAATACAGCAATTTCATGACTAATTAATATAAACTATTTTATAAAAACTCCAAATTCACCCGAATAGTTATAAAATTGATTGTTATACTATTATTTGGTATATTTTGCCGTTAAATATGGACTATTGTTACCTTTTATCTCATTAATTTAAACTATGTATTCCTATATTAAAAATGCTCACTATTGTACAATGGTCGCTAAAATATTATTCAATTTCTTGTAATATTCTTATTGTTAGAAGTAATTACAATATTTTAGTGTCTTATGTACTATAATTTTTTATGATTTCCTATTACTTTCTATGATTGTTATTATGCGTGAAAATGTAGATTCAATAAAAGAACGGGAAGAGCCATAATTATTTATAACGTTATATGCAAAGTTCAACTTGTAATTCGAATATTTTGTTTTACTCTTTCCCAAAGATAAAATTTTAATCGTCTTAAATGAAGAGAATTAGGTGGGATAACTAGAAACAGGAAACAGATTGCACTTTTATGACTTTACTTATTATCATGTAGATGGGTGTGTATTTACACGTGGGGACTGCAGGCCCTCTTAATGCACGCCCTCTAGTTTAGCTGCTGCATAAGAGCAGCAGCTAAACTAGAGGAGTATAGGCCTAAACCAGTGCTATGTTGATTTTAATTGCTTCATATGGAAACTATTTTCACTGGGAACAGATAGAAAATCGTAGCTGTGACTCCCATCCTAGTTCTCCTCACTCGCGAACGAAGGTTCTCATTCTATTTATTTGAAATTAATAAAAAAAGGAATTCTTTGAAATTGCGTAACATTATGCCCCTACATCACAGTCGCACAAAAACTTTTTCTAAAAATAAATAATACTATCTAAAACTACAACACTTATCCTTCAAAATGTATTTTTAAATTTAGAAAAGCTCATTTTTTTGCGAAAATATCATTGACTGAAGTTGAATACTTGAGTGATTTCATAACAGCAGTCCCGAAATTAAAAAATATTCAAAGTAAAAATCTATAATATAGAGATGAATGAGTACAGAATGTAATAATTTAATTTGTTTTATAAATTTTGTAGTTCAAATTAATTTTTCATAGGTATCGCTGAAACTGGATCCATATCTGATGTCGAAAGAACGCTAAATACTCTCAATGGATATCATGATGACATTTTAGAAGCATTAAGGAATGCACATCGTGGTTTAGCTAGTACTCCATCGGGTAGTGCTAATCTTCTCAATGATGAGATCATACGAAAATCTCTAGCTGATCATGGTTATTCTGAAGAATCTTATCGTAAAATTTCGAATAGCCATGACAATGTTGAGAATGCAGAAGACGAAGATGAAGAAGATATTCCACCTACATGCGGAACAATGAGAATTCGTACGCTTGAGGATATTATTCGACAGTTGGAGCATCATTCAATTCGACATATAAGTCCAGTTGATTCTGAAGATATAAGATTGTCAGAAAATGAAAATGAACGACATTATCGTATAGATTCTTCGGCTTGCAGTGAATCTTCTCAAGGGTACGTTTGTTATTAAGAGAATTTCATAAAAAAGCAAATTAATTTATTTTTCATATTTAAGAATATATATAAATTGATTTTACTTCTGCGAGTCTCATTAATATTTCCAATGTTATTTTTTAACCCGGTGGTCAAAACTTGTAAATTTATTTTGTTACTTTAAATATGTATTTATTATTCGACTGTTTTCATTAGTCAAATCCATCAGGTATGAATCAATACGTATGTGACAAGACTTACCTGGTTTATTCTTCTTCCCGTAATTCGCTCCTGGACTACTATACTGTGCTACATTGCTTTTTACATAACACTGCTTAGTTTTTCAATCCTGTGACGGGGCCCTGGCCGAGATGGTCGGCCCTATTTGGCTCGCTGTCCCTCCCGCAAGTCGCTCCTTCGCTGTGGCCATGGCGAACGTGATAGAAGCCGAGAACTATTATATTACCGATGCTTGCAACGCTTTATTTCAAGACCAATATCTGTGACCAAGAGAGAGGAGGAGATGCGTCACATAAGATAAGAGAGATACAGTTTAAGCATCGGATCACAGAGAATCGATCGTGACGGCTGAGAGCGCGCGCGCTAGAATAGAGAGCGACAGATTTCTTGAATCGCCGGTTGTGCAGCAACCAGGTCAAGAAATAGAGATGACGCTGGGCATAGAGTGGCGAGGAGAGGTTTTCACCCAAGGCACGGAGATTTAAGTCCAGCCTGCTGTTGATCTGCCAACTGTCTCAACAACGGTTCATCCAGCAGCTTTCCTCAAGTCAGGGCGTTGGTCTCAAGGAGTGTGTGACGCGTTGGCGAAGTGCTCGCGATCATCCGCGAACATGTCGATAACGGCGAAGTCCTTCCTTCGGTGTCTCTCAAACCTATTTTTGTACCGTATCCTTGTGCATTTTTCTACACGAGTGAAGGCACACATCCAGAGAGAGTGACGCGTGAATCCGCGTCGTCTCTATCTCTGTAGATATTAACGGTTTATAAACATAATTAAAGGTTATTGAGAGTCATTTCTGTGCGCGCCAATCATTTCCTTTCTCTCAAAATATCACCCAGCCCGTCAACTTTGTGACGAGGCCCATCGTCATCTTTGTAGTGGAGCGAATGAGCCTCCCGCACCATTCCCTTAAAAATAATTAGTGAGACGTCGCTTGGGCACGGGCCTAGTGTATAACTCGTGGGTATAATCAAGTGTAATTATTTACCTACTCGTTTAATTATTAGTGTTACAATCCGTTGACGATGGTGATAATAAATATACGCGAACGCTCAATATTCAATAATGGAAATTATGTTTTATTTATAGGGAAAGAATAATAATCTACAGTTTAAATTCATGTATGTGTAATATAAATGTAATTTGGTATAACAATGAATTCAATAGGAAAGCGTAAATGCAATATAATCAATAATAAATTATACAAATTTATTAATTATGAACAATATTAAATGGATAATATGTAATGAACTTTATAATTAGCTGTGCAACTGTCACGCGTCGCAAATCAACTGCCTTAAAAATTGAGGTATCATCAAGCGCCTTGATTTTTCGGTCTACTAAACTTGCTTACTTCGATCAATAACACCTCTTATATGTAAGGAAAACAAAACTGATAAGTTTCAAGGTATAACACCTCCATGCCGAAATCGATGGATATCTGTGCGATGTCGAACGAAAACTAATGGAGAAATTATTAGTTCAGCAATTGATTGATTTCAATAAATACAATGCTATATGATAAATACGAATATAATGCTATATGTTACAAAGTATTATGCCATTGTAGAAATATATTTGAGGATTCTGTATTTACATAGTAAATTATTTTCTTAATGTAGGTTTAATTTAAAGAGTGAAATGTGCTTTTTTACGTTTACTGAAAGAAAGTTTGGGGATAGAGGTATCGTTTTGTTTTCCAGTCTTTATTGATATGGTAATTATGCTTAGTGATGTGGATGGAACAGGTAGGGGTAATTTCGAAGGTAAAGTTTCTGTTCACGCAATTCGCGCTCCTTATGTTAAAAATGTGAGTTCCTAATTTGTACATCTACAGAAGCACGTTTTGTCCTTTGCGCGCTTCGTGTTGAAAACGTGCTCAACTGTTGTGCTAAGCTTTCAAAAGAAAAGAGAGTGAAAGTTGGTAACCGAAAATCTAAGTGACTCTCGTACTCACTTCTACGGAGCATTCTGAATGAGGTTCATCTTTTGTTGTTGTACGGTCACGTTTAAATTCATTTATCCAGTTATAAACAGTCTTAAACACAGGGGCAGACTTGCCATGAAAGGCGTTCCACTCAACTGTGATTTCTTTTGGTGTAAGGCCTTTCAAATGAAAATGTTTTATCACCGCTCGAAACTCTGTTTTTTCCATTTTTCAAATAAATGAATAACTTTTTGTTCAACCAACGCTCACAAAAAAACGACACAATAAATCGAGCTGAAACCTTGTACGATATCTAGTTAGTAGTATTGCTTGCCAAAAACATCATAATTTAAGCGTGACGGGCGCCATCTCTTGGATTTTGTAAAGACCTATTGACCCCCCCTCTCCTCGTAGCATGTCGAGGTGATAAACAAACTCTATTGAATAGCCATTCAACATGTATGTATGTCTTTGTGAAGGCTAATCGAGCCTAAATTATTATCAGAATTTCAACTACTTTCTGTTTGTGATTTATTAGCGATAATTGATTTATATGTAATTTAATTTTAATTAATTTGTTCGTATTTAAATGACTTTTTCTTCACTTCAGACTGGATTATTTTATGCCTGTTAGATATAAGTTTTCCTTTGTTCTTCTTTCGTTAATTCATCTGTAAGTTTAAAGGCACCCTCCGTTAAAATAGTAAAAGAGACACCCTGAATGGATTCCAAAATAAAATTCAAAGATACATTCTACATCGAAAAGAAATAGGTTTCCCGCCGACCGCACCTTGTTAGACCCCCAGTATATACGAGGTCGGTCCGGAAAGTATCGGGCCTACGTTTATATCTTCGCGCCATAGTGTTCGAGCGACCTCTACCGGACAGAAACGTCAATAGTAAAGCCTCATTGTATTAATTAAGTAATCTATTGGTTACTTACTCATACCTGCCGGACGTATAATTCATGTGCAGCGTGTCTTTGTTTACATTGCCTTTTTCGCGTTCGTCGGATTTTGATATTGTCATAAATGACTGAAAAACAAGATCAACGAATTTGCATCAAATTTTGCTTTGAACTGGGAAAAACAAGTTCGGAAACCATTAAACTGATGCAAAAAGCCTTCGGAAGCGAGTGTATGAGCAAAACATGAATAAAAGAGCGGTATAATCGGTCGCACTTCTGTCGTTAGAGATTCTCGTTCCGGCCGACCTTCGACGACAAAAACCGCAGATAATATTGAGCGGGTGTGACTTGCAATCGAACAAGATCGTCGTATGACTGCGAGAACTAGAAGAATACCTTGGGATACTAAAAACCATCATTTCAGAAATTTTAACCGAAAATTTAGGAATGAAACGCGTGTGTGCGAAATTCATCCCAAAATTGCTCAAAGCAGAGCAGAAGAACATTCGCTTAGAAATCGCTCTGGACAATCTGGAAATGGTCAATAATGATGATAATGTGCTTAGAAAAGTTATTACAGGTGATGAATCATGGGTTTATGGTTATGATCCTGAAACAAAACAACAATCTTCACAGTGGAAGGATTATGAATCGCCAAGACCAAAAAAAGCACGTCAAAGTCGCAGCAATGTTAAGTCAATGTTGATTGTTTTTTTCATTTGTGAAGGTGTTGTACATCACGAATATGCACCAACAGGTCCGACAATCAATAAAGAATACTACGTTCAAATTTTGAAACGTTTGCGGGATGCAGTAAGAAGAAAGCGGCCGCACTTTTGGGAAAGTGGTGAGTGGCTTCGCTATCACGATAATGCGTCAGCGCATTCATCCAATCTTGTGCAGCAGATTTTGAACAAACACAATATCGCATTGCTTCGACAATCTCTATACAGTCCCGACATAGCCCCTTGTGAGTTTTAGCTGTTTCCAAAACTAAAAAAACCACTCAAAGGACACCGATTAAATGACAAAACAACGGTTGAAAACAATATGACGAGTATACTTAAGGTTATCCCTAATAGTGAGTTGCAGGACTGTTTTGAAAAGTGGAAACATCGATGGAACTGTGTTATTCAATCAAGTGGGTATTACTTTGAAGGATACCACCCACCAGATGATAAAGAATAACGCTAGCACGAAAATATAAAGGTATGCCCGATACTTTCCGGACAGACCTCGTATACGCGGCAATTCTGAAACATTGGATAAAATTTATATGTAAAATTATTTAAGATAAAATTATTTCAAAATTTTTTTCGTAACTAGGTAATGAGATAATCAACTTTGAAAATTAGTCAAGCAGCGGCCGGCTTCAAAATGTAGAAGGCAGCTTGGCGAACGTAGAGCGACGTGAGAGGTCGTTTAAAAAGTCCGTGCAAAGTCAGAGCGATGGCGCTACTAGTGCGTATGAAGGTTATTTTTAGTTAGTGGCATATCTTGGAAGAGCACACACCAAGTTTCAGCCAGATCGGCCAATTATTTTGCGTTTCACATTCGTTTCAATCAAAGAAATCGAGTGGTTGTAAAAAAATGAACGAAAAAGAATTTCGTGTATTGATTAAACATTACTTTTTCAAAGGTAAAACGCCTCAGCAGATTAAACAGAAGCTTGATAAATATTATGGTGATTGTGTACCTTCGATTAGAATGGTTTATAAGTGGTTTCAAGATTTTCGGAGTGGCCATATGAGCACAAAAGACGCTGAACGTTCTAGACGCCCTGTTAAGGTTACCACTTCAGAAATCATTGATAAAATACATGATATGGTGATGGCTGTCAGAAGAGTGAAGGTGCGAGAGATTGTTAGTACTGTAGGCATCTCGAATGAACAGGTACATAATATTTTGCACCAACATTTGGATATGAAAAAGCTATCCGCTAGATG